AAGATCAAGGTCAGTGAGCCCTTATTGTACGTTTTTTAGTTTTACAAGGATGTAAAAGGCAAGCCAGTCTGATGGGCCTTGAAGGCCCTGCTCGACATGGGCTGGGTTTGGGATTCTTCATATGGTGGATCGGGCTGTGCATGAATTTAAGATCCCTTAGCTTAAAAAGGTCGAGCCGGATGCGGCTTAGGCCTGGCTTGCTTGAATCCCTAGTTAAGAACATCGTATTGATGCTTTCACTCCTGCACATTCCTCCTATATTATGGCTTTCTTTCTTGTGCGTTCTCTCTTCTTTTCAGATAGATCAGAGTTGGATTCGAACACTGAATGAAATGTTGTAATCGTCATCACCTTAACCAAGAAGACCCAATCTCGGATCCCCCTGAAATCACTTTAAGCTCACCTTAGAACATGCCTATCTATTTTCAAATTGAACGATATGCAAGAGAAAACTCACCAAAGATAATGGCCTTGCTGAAAGTTTTAACCCCCAAAAGACCGACCCAAGTGTATCTATCTTAGAGCCAGGTGCTACAATGTGACATAATGGTTCTCATCAGGTCCAAGCAGGGTTACATGGATACTGATGCGCGTATTGGTATTTAATACGTATTGAAGAGTCTAGTACTTTTGTGATATGCTTGTTCAACCATTTAAAACGATATAATTATGTAACTTCCTTTCAGACATGTCTGTACAACCCTTAGCCTTTTATGCATTAGTTTTGTATTTTATAGGGAAATTTATGTATGGATCGGTTTTTTGTAGCGTTATAACGAAATGGCCCAAAAATATATTGCTATTACTCGGAAGTGTGGGAATTTCGAAATTTTTAATTTTTTACTGAGTTTGTCCTAGTCTAATTTTTTAAACCTCGGACTGTTTTTTTTCGAAATATTTCCTTTGTGGCAAGTTTGCCCCAGTTGATTTTTCAAACAAAACTTTTGTTACCTCCCACTATTGAGGGGAAATGGCAGCCATGGCTAAAGATCATACCTTCTAAACGTAAGGCATATTTATGGGGACCGTTTAATTCTCAGGAAGTTGTATACTGCAATTTTTGTGTTTCCCCTCTTCTCTCCTATTCCCATGATATTTTCTGCTCTTCCTTGTTCAGCAACTGATTATGGTTTTTGATTTTTTGTCCGCTCTCTCATATGATGTCTCTCTCTTTCTCGCATATGATGTTTTTATTCAATGGGTGGAAGAGGATGAGAGTGAGTTTGATTATTTGGAAGGCAGTGAGACAAGAAGCTTCATCCTGAATGCGCGGCTTGCAGCAATGGGGACATGCAGTCTCCAATCGACCTGCTTCACGAAAGAGCGGAGGTTCTGCCAAATTTGGGGTGTTTAAAGAGGGAATACGGTCCCATAACTATTTTTTTTTAAAAAATATAGGATCTTAGGTTTTAAAAATTGGACTGAAGCAAACTTGCCAAAAGAAAAAATTTAGAAAAAAAAAGTGGTAAGAAGTTTAAAAAATCAGACCGAAGGCAAACTCGACAAAAATTTAAAAATTCTGAGTTCCTGTCCATAACGCCATATTTTTATACCATTTCGTTATGACGCTATTAAAACTGGTCTGTACGTAAATTTCCCAATTTATAATGATTTGGGTAAAATGTATTAGGGTATTATTAACATGAAAGCAACTTTGTGGTTCATGTTCAACATGCCATTCCTCTACCTCAAACCAGCTTTGTGGTTTATGTTCAACATGCCATTCCTCTACCTCCAAAACCATTGGAAATATATGTCTTGGATGTGCGGATACTGGTATATCCATCAAGACTCGAAATTTGTTCATTAAACATGTACGGTCAAGTGTCGCTGACATATTTGCAGGCGTTAATACGTGTCTTAGTGTTGATATGGTCAACATGTGGCACCAATCAAATTTCTAAATGTTCAATTTCATCAAAAAAAAAAAAAAGCGAAGGATGATTTTTTCTTTATTTCTTTCAACATCTCTTTTTTATTTCCAATTTTGCTCGTATTTTATAAAGTTGTTTCGTGTGTGGGTTCTAAAGGTGTATAGAGAGCTTTGGAATATCAAAAGAGACATCTGTGTTTTCCTATATCCTGATTAGTATTTGTAAAACCGGTCGGTTAGATCGAAACCGCTAGGGTTTCGACTCTGGTTATGACCGGTTTTGGGGTACCAGTACCTAGACCTATCTCTCATAAAAAAATCAAGTATAAAATAGGTTGATTTAGGGTCAAATCGGCAGTATTTATGTCTAATCGGCCGGTTTTGATCTAACCGGACCAATTTTATGTTAAATGGCATTTGTTTTTTTAAAAAAGGGCAAATTGAAATAATGGCCATTTTTTGAAACAGAGCCCGTTATTTGCAGCAACTCAAAATTTCTTGCTTTTTTTATTCGATTTCCTTGCCCTTTTTTGGTGTTTTTGGTGATTTAGTGTTGTAAACCATTATTGATTGTATAGAAAACAACAAAATTCGATTCAAAGATTAAAAAAACAATGGTTCTTGTGTATTGAAGTGTGGAATTTCTAACCTTTGGAAATTTCTGCCATTCAGTCAATTTCGTCTTCAATAAGTAACGATTATTGATTAAATTTGATGCTTTTGAATCATAATCGAATTGGTTACCATGTCCTCGTTTCAATTTGTTCAACAAACAAGATATAGGCGGTGGATTTTGGCCCGAAAATTTAATCGTAGAACCTGTGTTCAAGCTGCTCGAAGAACCATAATTGGATCCGCCATTTCGTTAATTTCTTCTTTAATAGGAAAATATTATTGATGAAAGTGGAGGGTTTTGAATCATAATCGAATTGGTTACCATATCCATGTTTTAATTTGTTAAAAAATATATATATTTGGGGTGGATTTTGGCCTCAAAAGTTGTTGTTCGAAGAACTTGTCTTCGATTTAAAATACAGATTTTTGATCAATTTACTTGTCTTTTTTATGAATTTGATTTATAGAGTTGATATCAGGCTTCATCTATCTTATAAAATAGGCAGGTTGATTTATAATTGAGAAAAGCTTTTTATACGAATTTATTTCTTGCTTGATGTCATGAAAATTTCATAGCTCTAAATTTTCTGTGATTTTTTTAAAATTAAATGAAAAATACCAAATATTATTTTATTGGATTTGGTGCCTTAAAAAGATGATGGAAGCCTTTACAAAGATGTTGTATTGATTTATTTGATTTTCCAAACATTGAGGGTTTGCGCAAAATGTTGCTAGATTTTAGGAGTTTTAAAAAACGGATTGTTTTAACAAAATTAATTTTAGTTTTTATTATTAAGTCAATAAAATTATTTTTTATGATGAATATGGAAAATGTTTTTGTATTTTGCTTAATAAAATTATATTTTTGATAAAAAAAATTTTTTATGATAAAAATATATTTTTTGATGAATATGATAAAAAATCGCTTCTTCTTCTGTAAATGTTATATTTCTTTTTCTAACAAACAAAAAAATAAGTGCATGATAACGTTGGTCTTACTTTTGCTTCATTTTTTTTTCGTTTGATTTTTTTTTTAAGTGCGTGATATAATTATATTTGTAATAATGGAAATATAATTGTAATTGTAATTGTTGTAATAATGAAACTGGGATTGTAATTGTGTAATGGAAATGGGATTATAATTGTGTTGGCAGAGGCATTCACAATTTCAAACTTTTTGGTATAAAAATTTTTTGTTCTTGCTTTTAAATTATTGTCTTGGATTTTGGAATTACTTAGGATCAATAATGCTCAGTTCCTTCTTACTATTTTCTTATTAGTTGGTGTTTTTATTTGGTTTAATAGCATCAAGCTACTTTTGTTGTTATTTACAAAAAAGTGCATAAACGTTCATTCCTAATGTGAGCGATTTTTATATAAAAAAAAAAAACTAGAAATTCATGTAAGGTTTGGGATGAATATGTTAATTCTTAAAAGAAGATGTTTCATGACAAAAATATCTTCAAATAATATTATAATCTAGGAAGACCTGCTTGGGATCATAAAGATTACCATATTATTCAAATATTAATTTATAAAAATTTGTTTCAATATTTTTATAAGATAAAAGTATGTAACAAAATATTATACACTTAAACTAAGTTTTTCTACTATTTTTTTTATTTAAAAAAAAGCTACTTGACTGGTTAGTCCGGTTCTGGTTCAAACCGCTCCCAGCCCCATCTCCGGTTAACTGTTCCGATTCGATTTTACGAACACTGATCCTGATGACAAATTGTCATTCTTATACACATACTTTACAGTATCGAAGGAGGGCAAATAGCGTCTTGAGATAGCGCTTATGCGTGCTCGAAAACAAAAAGACGTCAAGCATCGATTTTCTGAATTTATACTACCTTTTGCCCCTATTTCATCCAACCAATTCCCAACAATACTTTGCAATAAAATTGGGGGAATAGTTGTCTCAAAATGTTGAGAATTGTTAAAAAATGGTTCACCATGAGCAAAGCGCTAAAATAAGTCTCCTATACTCAATGAGCTTCTTAGTTCTTAATACAAACATCTTATAAGATCATCCGAGATGGTCTGTTTATGATCACCCCCAAAATTTGTAGTTGATAAAATACCCTTTTTTTATCTAAGAAAACTCCATTTATAAGAACACCATATTCTTTTAGGAATCACACTGCAGAGTGATATGCTGCAAATGGAGGAGAATCAAAATCTCTTCTCTTGGCCCCCTTGAGCATATCTGAGTACCAGTATGCAGAGAGTTTCGGGTATCTCGGTAAATCCGGGTCCTTGAAGTCCACATGAACGAGGCCGTATCGAGTATTGTAACCATATAGAAGTTCAAAACAATCCACAAAGGACCACATGAAATACCCTTTTGCATTGGAGCCATTCCTGCATAGTTTATAACATGAAATTGAGATAAACAAGTGAGAATTTAGACTAAAATCACTATCCATTTCATGTAGTCTCTCTTCCCAACAGTACTGTGGCTTAGTTCATATCGCAGTGAATATGCGATGAACAAGTGATGTAGTACCTTACAGCATTTAGAAGGCTCCCAATGTAGCCATTCAAGTAGCTTACTCTTGCAGTGTCATTTAATGCCTCTAGAAGAGGAAGAGATTCTTGATTCGAGATTCCGAAACCTAACAGGCAAAGCATAACACATCAAATGATAGGCAGGTTATTGAGATCCACATCAATGGCAGTGATGAGAATATTTTAGGATTTTATACAATGAGAACGTCACAAATAACTCAAGCTAGTCGGATTTAAAATCGAATGGCTAGGTCATTTCTTGGTACACTTAAGAAGAAAAATTTCTAGGACTTCAAGCTTTGTTAGTGTGACAATCCGAGTAACCTGATTTTACATATAATGGCTAGGAGTGGTTGTCACTTGTTCCTTTTGAAGAGCTGCCATGTAATTTCCAAAGGGCCCTCAACTCCTCATTTTGAACTGAAACATAATGACCTCGACTATAGCTGTAACAAAAGTCGGTTTTTCTTATTTTCAACTCTATATCTTTTTTGTAATACCTTTTCTATATGTTTGCCTCGATCTCCAAAGGTCGATGTTGCCATCGCATATACATTCTTTAAAACGATAGAATATCATGAATATCTTGTTAAAAAATTCAACTAAATTCTTTAAAACGATAGGATATCATGAATATCTTGTTAAGAAATTCAACTAAATTTGATTCATTGTAACTTTATAAATGAAGCTATCCTAGCTGCCCATTCTTATAAAAAGACATTGTAAAGGAACATAGCGAATTTACATACGAGGGGATGTATAGCAGGATATCCCAACTAGGTAGTGTGCTCGAAATGGAAATCGGATAACTTGTGTCTTATGGTGAGTTTACCAGTTTGTATAGGGGGGGTCGAGGTTGGTTCTCCGAAATTTCTCAAACAAGAAGTAAAGAGAGAGAGTTACCATTCTCATGTACAAATACCGGAGCATTGTTGTAAGTTCGCTTGACATATTCCAATAGCCCTTGTAGCCCCCACGGAACAACGGGCAATACACCAGGGATCTAGCATAACATTCTACTGTTTGATGAGAGATAGAGAGAGAGAGAGACGTTAAGTTAGACAGTGAGAATTCTCTCGTTAGAGAGAGGGAGGTTACCTCGTTAATTCCCTCGCCTATGGGAATTCCGTCCCTCTCCACTGTAGCAACAAGGAGAATTTTACCAATACATCATTTATTTATTGGGGATTGATTACAAAGGGATCATTTACTTTTCGTACAAAGAGGTCACAATCATTTTTGTCTTTTAAATTTTAAAATGAGTGATAATAAAAATGTCATTAAATAAACACAAAATTTTAAAAAAAAATTCTTGAACTTTGTAGCTCACCCAAAGCCATCAAATTTAACACCTAATGAGTGAAAATAGTTGCGACTTCTTTGTAATAAAAATAAAAGATCTCTTTGTATGATAAAGGTAAAAGATATATTTATAGACAATCCCATACAATAATACTCTCAAATCAACAATAGAGCCATTAAAAGTCTCCAAATAGTGTTTCTAAATGAACCAAACCTGAAAATTTGACGAACATATCGGCTTCATAGTCTCGAAGTCCTGTTTTCGTATGGCTTTTGTCATCGGAGGCGTACATTGTGGTGTAGTGAATCAATCCGATGTAGTCGTAGGAGCCTTTGATTTTTTGAGATTCTTCTTTTGTAAAAGTTGGTAGCCTTGACCCAACGATTTCTTTCATGATCTTAGGGTAGTCCCCAAAGACCAAGGGCTTTAGAAACCTGGATTCATAAATTTCAGCGTGAAATTTTCTTTCCTTGAAATTCAAACTACTTAATGCTGCATTTGGGATGAGCTTGTAATGCATTGATGTAACCACTTACTTGTTATTACTTTAGTGGTCCATGGTCGGCTGTCTGCAAATAGGGCTGGCAACGGGTAGGGCGGCCCAGCCCGTGTCCCTACTGCAAAAAGCTAGGACGAAGGCCACCAATATGGGCCGAGGGCTGTGGTGGCCAGGCCCTCGGGCCGGCCGAGTGTTTTCTTTTTAGTTTTTTATTTTTTATTTAAAAGAATTTATTAGGCCCATCACGACTTGGTCTAGAATGGGCCAAAGCCAGGCTTGAGCTTAGTTAGGCTAGGCTCTAGGCTTGGGCTAGAGCCCCTTTAGCCCAGCCACGGCCAGCACTAAAGGGAGAGCTGGCCAAATCTAGGCCTGTTGTAGCGCCATTTGCAAGCTCCACTTACAATGAAGTGGTTACCTCTCCCAACCCATAAATGGAGCAGTAAGTCAACGCATTAATTGAAATGATGTCTCTTTCAAAAAATGAACTTCGAGATAGATTTTAAATCTAAAAATTTCACATTTTAACCATCTCAATCACCACGATAGTGGATCTAAAATAAATCTTGAATCTTAAAATAAACAAGATTGTAGGTTATGAGACGATTTACTTTTGTTACAATGAGGTCAAGATTACACATAACTATCAAATGTGAAATTATATGGCTCGGGGTGTATCAAAAAATTTGATAATTTTTATTCGAAGTTTGAGATTAGTCAATTAAAAACTTACAGCCACTCGATTTAAAATCTATTGGACAAGAATGATTGTGACCTCCTTCTACTAAAAGTAAATGGCTTCTTTGTATACTTTCTAATTTGAGCTCATAATTACCTGAATCAAAATGAATAAGGTGATTTCCATTAAAATAATCTTATCCTAAATTGTGAAGACTCATTCGGGGTACATTTTAGCTCCAAATCCATCTTTAAAGAAAAAAATACTCATTATAGACCCTATTTGGGAGTTAAGTGGTACAATGTCCTCCCGAGGAGCAAACCGTACATGCGCCCTCAGGTAAAAGAGCAAAAATTTTGGGAGAGCATTTTTTCAAAAAAAAAGAAAAAGAAAAAAAAAATGATTCTTGAATTTCTAAACACTTAACTACTCTTAATGTCGAAAAATTGAGCAATTGAGCCATCCTTGCTCAATCTTAAATCTTAAATTCTAATATTTAGGCACATATGAGTGCGCTTAATTTTCTCTTTCTCTATTTGAGATTGGTCATAAGATTGAGATGCTTACACTTTAAAAAAATGGGCAGGGGTTCGTCTTCCCCACTAAATTATAAAAAAAAAAAATCCAACAAATATTCATAAATAGGATTATACCTGGACAGTAAATGGAGGATATGGTGGGGTCATTGGATCTTTTAAGTTGATAGTTTGGGTCCGTCTTTTCTTTGGGTAAATAGAGTTTGGATCTATCAAATCTATGTATTCGACCTGTGGGAGTACATAAACAATATGGTCTGGCAGGAAAAGGTAATTTTTTTCCGATGAAGTTTCTATAATATCTAGATTTTATGGAAACAAAATAAAGCCTCATCTCAAATCCTTATCCATAAAGAACTTTCAACAAAGGAAATCTATGATGACACTAAAATCAATATCTAACACTGATACTAAATTAAAAATAAAAAAAGATACAGATCTGTAGATCTATGAACACTTATTTTTAAAGACAACTAGATGGTCTAGATAACTTGTTATGATATTCACTATTTTTAGAGCTTAAAATCCTATTTTTTTTCACAACCATAATGTTCAAGCCAAGATGATTGATGTAAAGATTCTCCAATTTTTGAATTGCAATTTTGGAGGACTAATGAGGTGAGGCCTTACTTATATTGATAGGCTGCAGCCATATCAAACTATATTCAATTTTTTTTTTTAGTGATTTGTTTATTATTGGTTATTTAGATAAATAGGATTGTATATTATGAGGCCATTTACCTTTAAAAAAAAGTACACAATGAGATTATTTATCTTTGGTACAAAGTGGTCACATTTGATCTTGATCATTAGATATGAAATTAGATGGCTGCATTTATTCTATTGACCAAGCTCAAACTTCAAAAGAAATTTCTCGAACTTTGTAACATTATCAAATTCAGATTGTATACAATCCTCTATCTTTATTACAAGGAAGTCACAATTATTCCAGGCCATCAGATCTCAAATTGGATGCCTTGGGGTCAGTCACAATGAAAAATTTCATTATGAACTTTGTATCTAATCAATGACATGCTAACAACTCGCAACTATTTGATTAAAGATCTGATGGATAAGAGTAATTGTGATATCTTTGTATTAGACATAAACAATTTTTTTATATACTTTTTCAAAAGGATATTATCCTATTTGGATGGGTTTGACAAGTAGGTACCAGCCAGAGTTGAAATCAAGAGCTCTTTGTGCTGCGGCAATGTCCCATGACAAATTTGTCAGTGGAACGTACCAGAAGGCGTATACTGACAGTCCAATGAATCCTTTTTGCATACCCTGCATCACCAATTTCTCAAAATTTAATTCAAAATTATGAGATATATTTGAGTAATCAGTCTTTTATGAAAAAAAAAAAAATTGGATTTTCAAGTTTTAAGCACCTAGATTACAAAATAGAACTCCAATTAAATGCCCCCCAAAAATTGGATAGTTCTTGTTCAAATCTTTGACATAGTGCATTCCGTAATGCATTTTTGGACCGTCAATTTTCAAGTTGTTCAAGTGTTTATAAATCTGTTCAATCTATACAATGTTTTAAGTTTTAACTTTTATAATTAGAGATGAAAATAAAATTTCAAGTCATCACGAAAATTTTCAGTATTGAAACGACATCTTTCACCACCATTTGAAGGTGCGCCTTACTTTGACTAAACATAATAAGTATGAACTATTTATTAAAGGAAATGCATACAATAAGACTACTTTTGATACAAAGAGATCACAATCATCATTGACTGTTAGATTTGAAATCGGGTGGTTGAGGATATGTCATCGTTTAGGTACAAAGTCCAAAACAAAATTTCTTGTATGTTGTGTCGCAACTTCATTTATTAGTTTTTCATATCCAATGACTAAAAGTTATTGTTACCACTTTGTACAAAAAATAAATAATCTCATAACATGCAATCCCTTCATTAAATAACATTAAAACTACATATACACAAGAGTCTCTTTTATGTGTCGCAAATTTGGGCCACCACATCTAACATTTTGACACACAACGGACTTGAACACCCGTATATGTCTTTAGGTGATGCAGATTGGTATGTTTATGAGAATGGAGGGTTGTTGTTTTGTTAAGATGGTTATTACATGGGTGACCAGGTGTTCAAGAGAAAATGCGAAAAATAGGTTAAAAACAGGAAAAAAGAGGATAATAACGAAAAATGGAAAAAAAAATAAAAATAAAAAGATAACTGGAAACTATCTTAAAAATACATTATTTAATTTTTTAAACGCCAAATATTTTCTTTTTAGATAAAAACATAGTTACTTCTGGTATTTTGAAAATAATGACAGCAATTTGCCTTTTCCATTTTCCATTTTCCATTTTTAAGGAGTATTTTAACAATATAAATGGACTAAATGTCACCTACGGCTATAATGCCACCTTGTAGCAATTGTTTTATCCAATAGAGCGACTGTTTTTGCGTATAAGATTTTTTTTTTTTTTTTGCAATTCTTTTAACCTTTTGAGAAATTTACGCTGATGTCCCCCAATTGTATGCTTGTATCCTCCTGATGTATTTTTATTCATAACTAGGGTGGCAATGGACCCGGACCTGGTCTGGGTATACCTGAACGAGTCCGGATATGGGTCCAATATTTGGACCCAGTGGGTTGGATCCGGGTCCAAAACCTGGACCCGAATGCTATTTGGGTTCAGTCGGACCCTACACATACACGTACACGTAAACTGTTGGAGATAAAATACTTCAAGCTTTATTCGGTTGGGTGTATTAATGATTGTATACGATAAGAATTCATAATCATCTTTAGCTATTAAATGACAAATAAGACGGCCTGAAATCTAAAGGCGGGTTGTGACCTTGTTACCAATAATTTGAATATATGATGGTAAAGTAAGGGCAAAAAAAAAAAGAAAAAGAAAAAGAAAAAGAAGCTCATAATGAGGGCGGCAATGGACCCGACCAAACCCGCGACCCTACAGGTATGAGTATGAGTCCAACTTGATGGTCGGGGCCGGGTCCAAAACTTGGATCCGAATACATTCGAGGCCTGGATCCGGGTCCAACCGGACCCGACCAGTTGCTACCCCTAATCATAACTGGCACCCTTGCAATATAACGGCCATCAGTCAGAGTCCATGCGCTCACCTGATACTTGTCCTTGTAGAGTTTCGCAGTGGCCGCATGTGTCAACAATGAATTATGAGCAACAATGTAGGGCTCAGTCGATGAGTTTCCTACCCTACAATCTGAGACGCCCCATGGCTTAGAGCATCGTTGAGGAGGCCATATACCCGTGTCATAGGCGCCCACTGCCAACATGTTGGGCTCATTGAGTGTGCACCAATGCTTAACTCTATCTCCAAATTCTCTAAAACATACCTCTGCATATGCTTTGAAATCCTCTCTGCATCAAGAAAAGTGTAAATAAGTAATCCAGTGGAAGTGGCTTTATTTTTTTATGGGTTTCCTTTTTGTTTGAAAAGTTTGGGTGAGAAGTTTAGAATTCAAGGCCCAAGTACTATGAAATCTTCCTTTTTTTCTGAATGTAAGAACTAAGAAGTATGAAATCTTATGCAGAAAAGAAAGGGAGTAAGTTTGCAAGTAATTCGATTCACTAGAAATTATCATTTAAATTTTAGATCCATCATCGCCATCAACCTGACCAGTGTTTCAAAATTTAGTCCAACACGGTGGGGGTCAGATTTCGATTTGCCTGGTCTAACTCGAGTGGTTCTCAAGTGAGGCTGGGCCTATTTTTTTTAGTTTTTTTTTGTAATTTTTGTTTAAAAAAATTAGTGTCTATTGGCCTGGGTGGACCCCTTTAACAACTAGGTTGGGCCACGCAGTCTAGTGTAGGACGGGGCCTTGAGGGTCCGGATTCAGGCTAGGGCCAATGTTGGCCTGGTCCAAGCCTGACCCTTCGCCACCCTTAATTGGAATCCCATTGCCAAGTGCCCAAAAGAGAGAGCATCAACTGGTAGGGATTACAAGCGACTGTAAGTTGTAAAAGAGAGTTCAAGTTGAGAGACATTACATTATCCTCGGGCTTAACCATCCTTTGTATTCATCCTCTAGTATCTGAGGAAGATCCAAATGGTATAGAGTTACATGTGGTTGGATTCCTGTTGGTGAACCAGTTAGTCCTCCTCGAAGGCCATAACTCTTAAGTTAGATTTTAGAACAGCTTTAGCTAAAATATAGGGATTGTATACAATGAGACCATTTATTTTTTATATAAGATGGTCGCAATTACTCATAACCAATGGTTTAAAAAACGGATCGGTAACCTGGATCGGGCTTCCAAAAAACCGATCCGGATCGGCGAATCGGCGATCCGGATCGAGAATCGGGTGAATCGGTCAGAATAAAGCTTAAAAAAAATTTGAAAAAATTATTAAAATTCATTATAAATATTGTTTTTTAGGAATTCAATAAAAAATGAGGGTACTCCATTAAGAATTTTCATGTTTTTGAATGAATATGCGAATATTAATATGTTCTTTCCCTGCATGAACCGCCATTCAGCATTTAATTTACAGTATTTCGTGCTCATCCCTACACTGTTGCTGTTGGGATTCGATATGTGAATAATATGGCTGGGATAGGGTGGCCTCAGAATCATCATCTCTCTCATTTTCTCTTGGAATAATATGGATTAAAAAAAAAATTAACAAATTTTCAAAAAAATCGGTCATGGATTAAAAAAAAAATCACAAATTTTCAAAAAATTCTATCATGGATTACAAAAAGAAATTCTATCATGGATTAAAAAAAAAAAATCACAAATTTTCAAAAAATTCAATCATGGATTACATAAAATTCGATCATGGATTACATAAAATTCGATCATGGATTACATAAAATTCGATCATGGATTACATAAAATTCGATCATGGATTACAAAAAACAATAAACAAAAAAAAACAAAAAATTCAATCGTGGATTACAAAAAAAGAAAAAAACAGTTCGATCATGGATTACAAAAAATTCAATCATGGATTACAAAAAACTCTATCATGGGTCACAAAAAAAGCAAAAAACAAAAAATTCAATCATGGATTATAAAAAAAAAACAAACATTTCGATCATGGATTACAAAAAAAAAACAAACATTTCGATCATGGATTACAAAACATTCGATCATGGATTACAAAAAATTCTATCATGGGTTACAAAAAAAAAAAAAAACAAAAAAAG